CCAGTCTAGTCTTTCAAGCCATACGTTCTCAACCTTTCAAGAATGGTGTTCCCGCTCCAGCTTTGGCCATGTTTTCAGACTCGCGTGTTGCTTCCGTCGTTCAGAATGGTATTCTCGCCCCAGCGTGTGCATTTTTGAATGGGTCCGAATCATCCCCTCGTCGTTGCCGCCCCGCTCCTTTCCCTTCTTCTGCCTTCCACTGTTCCTCTCGCTCCTCCCGCTCCTCATGCTGCTACTCCTCATCATCCATCCTCCTCACCGTCCTGCTCATCCTCCGCCTCCTCCTCCTCCTCCTCCTCGTCCAGCGTACTCAGCCCTCCTTTCTGCTAGCGCGTCTCAAAACGGGGCCATCTTGGAGGTCCAGGTCCGCGAAGACACCCGTCGGCGGATGGCGACAGATCGCCGCAGTCGGAAGGGCGGACCAGGTTTCGGTGCCAGGTGTGGCGCACGCGCACTTCCTCCCACCCCCTTCTCCTCTGGCCCTCCCCCCATCATCTCGGGGATCGACTTTCGATCCATGACTCCTGCTGCTGCCCCGCAGCCTGGCCGCCAAGGCGGGGCAGGGCACGGTTGAGAAGCTCCGCGCTCAGAGGCCGGACTGTTATATATATATATCCATGTCCCCGTTCAGACCCCCCCTTCTTCAGAGTGCTCGTGCGAGCAGGGGTATGGCTAGCATGTTGATCGCATACCCTGCTGCTGTCCCCGTCCCCCACCCCCGCTGCGTCAGCCCACCGACGGCGCCGCGATGCGGCTCGACGGCGACCCCGAGAAGCGCCCCCTGCCAGCGAGGGCCAGCCACTCTCGCCGCCCGAGAGGGTCTTGAGGGCTGTGGAGCGGGGAAGGGGCGTGGGGGGGGGAGGGGGGAAATGGAGAAGGCCTCCTCATCCTCCTTCTTCTTCTCTCCTCATCCTCATCCTCCCACCTTCTCTCATGCTTTTCCTCCTTCTCCGCCTCCTTCCTCCTCCTGCTCCTCCTCCTGCTCCTACTCCTTCTCCTCCTCCTGTTTCTCCCCTCCTCTTCCTTCCCTCCGCTCTCCCTCCGCTTCCACTTCCTCCTCCTCCGCCTCCGCATCCCCCGCCCGTCGTCCTCCTCAGAGGGGGCGGAAGGGGACGGTGGGTAGCAGGAGGTGGTCAAGGAGCTAGTTGATGCGGAAGAGGAGGAGGAGGAGGAGGAGGAGGAGGAGGAGGAGGAGGAGGAGGAGGAGGAGGACGGGGGGGGGAAGAGGAGGAGGAGGGGTTGGGGGATGTGGGCGAGGTGGAGGAGGATTGCGGCGACGAGGAGACGGTGGGTGAGGAGGATGGTGGTGGAGGAGAATGAGGATGGTGAAGGATGGGCAGGATGGTCTAGGATTTGTGGAGGGTTCGCGATTTGTTTATCAGCTGACGGGCCTGCTCGCCTGTAGCCCTGGCTGGAAATAGCACAACATGTTTCTGGAGGTCTCTGGAGGTGGTTTTGGGGCTTTCAAGCGGTGCGGTTACCGCACTGCGTTCTGATTCAGTGGGGATTCGGGGTCACCGCACGGGGGATCCGGGTCGTTTTCCGAGGGCTTCTCGGGCGACCAGGGCCTCCAGAATCCCAAAACCGTGCGGTGAGATCGCTAGTAATTCCGAGATCACTGCACGGCCTGTCACTGCACCGTCTTGGGATCTCCAAGTGGTCTCTGGCAGGTCTTTAATCTGGCGGTATCTCGATGTGCTGACAGGAGGGAAAGGGGGGTTCGAGAGGTCTCTGGCATGGCATGTTTGGGAGAAGGAGGGTAAGGCTGACGCTTGCCTGAAGGATCTTCTCAAATCGCACATCCCGACTCCTAACATCGACCGCCGCTGTGCGGTCTGCTCTGAGAAATGTTCTTTTCTCCACGGGTCGTTGCCAGAGCGCGACGTCAACCGCGATTTGCGCTACGCAAGGCTTCAAGTTAAGTGAGTTGGCTTGGGTAGAGCCCTAGACGTGTTGCATTGTGACATGTTTGCCGCTGAGCACCTGCAGTTTTCGGACCCTTTCAGTGCGGCCCTGAACCGCTTGCTGCGCACGCGCCATGCCTCGCAGGGGCTGTAGATGCCTTGATAGGTGCCGTTTATACGTAAACGGACGGCGTTGCGCGTGCTTGCGCATGTTTTGCCTTGCGCAATCGTGGACGCGGGCATAGAGCGTAGCTGTGTAGAATGTGCGCAATCGAGCGTGACGCATCACCTCTGCATGTTGCGCAACATGCGCGTACCGTGTTCATTGTGTAGATGCGTACGTGCAGATGTAGCTGGGATGCAATATGTAAGCTTCACATGCGAAGCGTGCATTTCGCAAATCGTGCAAGTTATGAGCACATGTGTGGTTGAAGCCATTCATCCGCGTATGAGTTACATGCCCGTGTTGTGTGATAGGTATGCGCCCCGTATCTCCATGCACAAGTCGTGCTATGACAGCGCATGCGTAGTTGGTGCTTCTCAGTGGTGTCCTAGGTTTCCCGTCACGTGTTCACACACCTATTGTGTCATGTGGAGGGTTATCATCGCATGCTTACCCGTGTGATGTACTCGCGCCATGCTCAATTTGTCAGAGTTATACAATGATGTATATATATATGTATAAAGACGGCAGCATGCGTGACATGGTGGTTGATATCTTGCTTTCTCTGGTCACTTGTCATGACTCCCTCGCCGCCGCAGTACAACTCGAAGCTGAGAGCCTTGGTATTGAGCTCGGCAGGGAAGGGGCTGGGTATTGTTCGCGCCCGAGCAGAATGCAGGGCCCACTTCGTTCCGATCGTCAGTCTACCCGATGTTGTCCGACGCTTGCATGGCGCTGTTGCGCGGCCCATTCGATTCGATTCCGACCCCGCGCCGAGGTAGAATGGTTTGATCTAAGTTATGATTCGATCCGATGTTCCCCGATTCGATGCTGACTGATCTTGCTCTGTCGGCGCCACCAGCTCGGACAGCGTGGTCTCATGGTCCCCCCCACCCCTCCGGTGCAGTGGATGCCCGGGCTGGCGACCTCGCGGCGAGCAGCGACCTCACTTGTCTCGGCCCGCCGCGTGGCCCAGGACAGGTGAGGCGCGCGCTGGGATGGGCGAGGAGGACTCGAACTGGAAGGGCATACTCTGGTGCATCCTCCTCCTCTGGGTGGCGAAGTATGGGAGGTTCTGCTCGACGCAGATGGATTCCCATTCGGTGGCTTCAGCCGGTGAGATCGGATGTGATGGTGGCTGAAATAGAATCCAATGAGATATGACAGTATCTGCATGTGTCTATATGTATGTGCACCTTTACATCTAAAATTCACCGGTAGAGGTCAGTGGGATCGCAATTTGGTTTCAGCGCGGGCTTGCCCAGTCTTGTTGACTAGGCGCCCGTGCGACTGCGTGACGCTCCCATGCCTGGCCGCCTGCCCTCCTCCTGCTTTCCACCAGGGCCCCAGGGGGGTACGGTCGGACAGAGGCATGAGATCGTGGTCGGTTCGGGGAGGGTACCCTAGTGCTCCTCGTGCTTGTTTGATGTTTTTGTGCATCCTGGTTGAGAGTACTCTTGGATGTTCTTTCTCGTGGCGTAAGCACCTTCCCTTAGGTAGCGAAGTACGGGGGCTTCTGTTCGGACCACAGAGTTTCTCAAATCATGGAGTCGTGAGATTCCGTGGGATTCAGTGCCTCCTCCCCGCGGGAAAGAAGTGGTGTTGGTGGGATTAAGTGGGGTCGCGAGTGGGATTTTGTGATTTAGTGAGATCCAGTGGTTTAATGAGCGGCCACTAAATCTCACTAACTAGGCGCTCGTTCGACTACCTGAGGCTCCCATGCCTGGCCACCTAACTCCCCCGCGTGCGTATTTCTCCTTCTTCCGTCCGCATGCTGTTGCCATGTCGCGCAACGCTCTGCGCACGACAGGTTGTACCCCGTCCCCCAGCAGCTGAGCAGCTGACCTCCCGCACCCAAGCATACAGTCGCACGCGCACACACGCAAGCACACGCAAACACAGACACCCACACACGCACACACACACACACACATTCACACACACACACACACTCCTACACACACACACACACACACGCGCGCACACACATTTTGAGGTCGCAGCCTCGCGCGCAGCCACGAGGCGGAGAGAGTCCCCAAGCGAGAGGAGCGCCCGCATGGCCCGCCTCTCAGATGGAGGGCGGGGCCCCAGCGGATCGACACTGCCCTGCGCACGCCCAGGCATCACACACGCACACACACGTAAACCTCCCGTGTTGGCGGCAGCGCCGGCGGACGCAGGCGCGTCGGCAGAGCCCGCGGGCCGCGCGGGGCGCAGGGCGCCCCCAAGACAGGCGGAGGGGAGGAGGGCGGCCGCGGAGGCAGGGGAGGCAGAGGATGCCCGGAGGCCCGAACTGCCGAGAGGCGGCAGGGCGGGAGCGCTCCCGCTGCAGCACGCGCACACGCACACGCACACGCACACGCACACGAACACACACACACACATTCACACACACGCGCACACAAACACACATACGCACACACACACACACACACACACGCAGAAACACACACACACACGCACACACAAACACACATACGCACACACACACACGCACAAACACATACACACATTCACACACACGCACACACGCACGCACAAACACACACACACATACACACACACGCACACACACACACACACACACGCACACACACACACACACACGCACGCACACACACACAAACACACACACACACACACACACACGCGCGCGTTCCGGCGTCGCGGCCCCGTGCGGCGGCGGCGCGGCGTGGGCCAAGGGTGGCGGGGCGCGCGCACACTGCCGGGTGCGCTCGTCGCCCTCTCGCCGTCTCTCGCCGCTTCTGGGACGCGGTGTTCCCCTGCCGAGGGCGGCCGAGGCGGCCGAGGCGCAGGGACGGGGCGCGGCTGCGTGCTCAGGCTCGAGCGCGCCAAGGCCCGGGCTGCCCGACCGTCGCGCGCGCGCGCGCTCGGGCGGCAGCGCGGGGCCCCGCGAGCGGCCGTCGTCCGCCATGGAGGACCTCATCGAGCAGATCGGCGCGGACGTGCTCCCCTCCCAGCGGGGCGAGGTTTACAGGACCCCCGGTAAGGGGAGCAGGTTAGTTGTAAGCCAGGTCTGCCGTAAGTTGGTGTTTTGTTCCAGCTGAAGACGGCCCAGACGTTTTTTAAGCCAGCGGTCGCAAGCGGGTCAAAGCCGGTGCAGGCGCCAGTCGGGCTATGGGCGGGACGCGCCTTGAGCGAGCTGGGGCACAGTACAGCGGATAAGGACGCAAGAAAGGGGTAACAGAGGTGGGGGCGTTTCAGAACGTGCAGTCCTTCGGGGGCGTGCTGAAGCTGCGCAAGAGCGCGAAAGCGCGGCTTGGCGGCCCCAAGCACATATCACTAGACTTGAGGAGGTCTTTAGTTTTGGGTCCCCCCCTGTGTTCTCTCAGCGGGGAACAATCTCGCCCCTCCTCATCCGCCTGCTCCTCCTCCTCCTGACTCCTCCTGGCTTGTCCTCCTGCTGCTGCTGCTGTTCCTCCTCCTCCTCCTTCCTCCTCCTCCCCGTCCCCCTCCTCCTCCTCCTCCTCCTCCTCCTCCTCCTCCTCCCCCTCCTCCTCCTCCTCGTCCCACTCCTCCTCCTCCTCCTCCTCCTCCTCCTCATCCTCCCCGTCCCCCTCCTTCTCCTCCTCCTCCTCCTTCTTCTCCTTCTCCTCCTCCTCCTCCTCCTCCTCCTCCTCCTCCTCGTCGTCGTCGTTGTCGCGGCGTCGTCGTAGACCTTCTCCCACGACAAGTCCAGTCCTGCCAGTGCCCGAGAGTGGCCGCTGAGGGCGAGGCGGGTGGCCTCCTGCGTTGGTGCTTGTCTCTCCCGGCCAAGGGGGGGTTCGGCGTCGTTGGACCGACCCCCAACTGTTTAAGGTCTTTGGCTTTGGTACCCCCCCTTTTTTAGCTCGGCGGTGAGCAGGTCTGGTCCGACAACCTCCACCTCCTCCTCCTCCTTCTTCCTCCTCCTCCTCCTTGCTCCTCCTGCTCCCCTTCTCCTCTTCCTCCTCCTCCTGACTTCTCCTGGCTCCTCCTCCACCTCCTTCTCCTCCTGTCGTCGTTGTCGTTGTCGTCGTCGTGGTTGTTTCGCGGCGGGTGGCTCGGTTAAAAAAGGGTAGTTACCCGTTATTCCTTCCTGGCGGGACCCCAGCTCCAGTAAGGCCGCCGAATCCATGATTAGTTGCCCCCTATTGCCGGGGGGCTTCAAAAAACCTGTCAGGCATATCCCCACCCCATTCCCATCCAGACCCCCACCATCTCAGCACCCCAGTCGGGGGTGGCCCAGGCCACGCCCATGGGGAGAGGGGTCGGTTCAACGATGATCGGGGGGGAACCATCCCAGCCCCCCCTACCTGGCGCGTGCCGAACATCCACGGAGCGCCGATGGGGGACAGCGAGAAGGGGGCCAGGCCTTCTCAGAGGGCGGCGTGGCCTCGGAACATTCAGGCTCAGAAAGCTTCTCGAAAGGCAATCGGCTTCGAAGCCTTCTGGGAAGGCCCGCCTCTCCTGCCTTCCCCCAGCGGCGCGCGCGCGCCGCCGAAGAACAGCCCGCGCCGTTTGCCGGACAGCCCTGCCTGCCCGCTTCCTGCTCGGGCGAGGCTGCGGACGGGCCCCGCCTGCCTGGGATGCCGACTGCGCGAGGGCGTCTCTCCTGCTCTGCTCCCCCCCTCCGCTCCCGCCCAGTGCGACGGGCGGCCTCTTCGAAGGAGCGCAAGGAACACAGCCAGGCAGCGGCTGTGTTCCTTGCCTTGAGTTAATTCAAGTTGTGCGCGGCCCGCTTAGCTTCGACCGGAAGAGGTGCGCTCGCGACCCGCGAATCAAAATTGTGTTCCTTGCCTTGCCTTGCCGCCCCTCGTGCGTTCTGCTGCGCGGAGGATGCTGTTCAAGGTGCTCGGCAACATCACGGACAAGCCGTCCGAGCCGAAGTACAGGACCCTGAAGAAGGACACCGAAGAGCTAAAGAGGCAGGGCAGTCAACTCGCCTGATAAGGATGCGCATCCTTCCAAGGGGTACCCTCGCATCCTTGCCCCT